TACCTGTACGGTCGGCCATTGCTCGGTGCCGCCGTGTTATATGCTGGCAGATCTGGAGCTGCTTGTAGACATGAAATGGGGGTGAAGAGAACCTGTCATTAGGAAACGTCCATTTACATTACCAGATCATAGCAGACGGCACAATACACATGTACAGGGCTTGAAAAATCCACTCGTCACAGACGAGAGGACGGCGGAGCCCGACGAGCAGCTTCCCCGGCTGTTGTAATGACACGGCCGGCCGGGAGCTTTACATTCAAGCGTTCGGACGTCTCTTGAGACGCTTGTATTACCAGCAGCTGTCACTGCCTTGCCGGTCCCGAGATGCGCTGCGGCCGATGCGGCCGGGACCGGCTGCTCTGTGACGGGATCAGAGGGAGATGAGTAGACAATCTCCCTTTGATCTCCTCTCCAGTCGCCGAATGCAGGAAGTGATGTATGTTACATCACTTCCTGCATTCAGCTGTCACTCTCCAGCTTCAGAAGCTAGTGAAGCAGATCTGTGCTTCATCAGCTTCTCTGGGGGTCCCTAGGTGACATTAGGGATCTTGGAGACCCCTGGTGTCTCCATAAAGAGGACCTGTCATGTAAATTGGCTATCAGATAGGGAGCTTCTTAGCCCCCCCCATGTGATAGCAATAAAGTTGTGTAAAAAAAAAAGTAATACAAAAATTAAAGAAGCATAAAAAAAAAAACCACACAAAACTTTTTTTAAGTCCCCCGCCCCCCCCCACATACGCACGTAGGTATGCATCAAGTGCGCCTACGTGCGAAAACGACGATTGTGCCGCACGTGTTACATATCGCCGCGAACGTCGCAGTGAGAGCAATCGTTCTAGGCCCGTCAATCTCTCTGATAACGCTAAACTGATGAACAACAAAAGCGTTTAAAGCGTTGCCTGTGGCCAATTTTGGGTGTGGTCGTTTTTTTGCGGGCGCGCGCCATTTTAAGGCTTGACATGTTCGGTGTCTATTTACCCGACGTGACCCCGACTCTTATATTTCACCAAAAATAGGGGTGATAATAATTGTTTCCTAACATAATGTAGGGAAAACATTGTTTTTTCTGAAATTTACTGTACTTTTTTCATTATATAGCGAAAAATAAACCCCTCCCCCCTCAGTGGTGATTATATACCAGCAAAAGAAAGCTTTATTTGTCCCAAAAAAAAGTTAACATAAATTGCCAGGCTGTAGTCCGGTCATGCTGACCGGTGAAACTTCTGACTGTACATGTACATACCATCAGATTGTCAGCATTGTGCCGCAATGCGCCTGGCAGCCCTGGGCCTGCATGACGCTGGCACTATAGCTCACTCGCCTGAAACAGCAGAGATCCACCACCATGCTTCACAGTTGGGATGGTGTGCTTCTCTTCATAGGCCTTGTTGACTCCTTTCCAAACATAAAGTTTATGGCTGTGACTGTAAAGTAAAATGTTGGCTTCATCACCCAAAATGATTTGGTTCCTGAAGTTTTGAGGCTCCTCTCGGTGCTGTTTGGCGTACAGTCAAGGGGCTGTTTTGTGGTGTTGGGGCAGTAAAATGGCTGACACTTTTACAGGGGTATGTAATCCTATGAGCACACGTGTATGTTTTATTACAGGTGTGAGCAAACTCCGCCCCTCCAGCTGTTGTGGAACTACAAATCCCACGAGGCATTGCAAGATTCCCACAGCCACAGACATGACTCCCGGAGACAGATGCATCATGGGATTTGTAGTTTCCCCCCAGCTGCAGGGCTGGAGCTGGCCCACCTCTGCTGTAGCAGGACCCGGGTCTAATAACGTTCCTCTCTGTTCCCACCCAGTAGACATGGCGGAGTATAAGATCCGGGGGTACCGAGATTCGGACTATGAGGTGGTGCGGGAGCTCTTCTCTCACGGCATGAGTGAGTACGTTCCCAGCGTCTGCATCCACGTCCTCAAGCAGCCCTGGGTCCTCTTCGTCCTCACCTGCACCTTCATCATCCTCCTCTGCAGCTCCAAATCCCTCATCCTGCCCTTCATGGCCGTCACCCTGCTGCTGGCTCTGGGCCGCCAGGTCCTCGGCTACTGCTGGTCAATGTACATAGACCACTGCCTGAAAGAGGACCTGCAGGACATCCGGAAGACCTACATGGAGAGCCGGGGCTCCCACTTCTGGGTGGCGGAGGCTGAGGACAGCATCGTGGGGACCGTCGCCGTGAAGCCTTCGGAGGAGAATGGCGAGGAGCTAATCCTTAAGCGTATGTCGGTGAGGAAGGACTTCAGGGGGCTCGGGATCGCCAAAGCCTTATCGCGGGAGGTCATCGGCTTTGCCAGGCAGGGAGGCTACAAGGCCGTCCTCCTCAACACGCTGATGGTCCAGGTGGAGGCCAAGAAGATGTACGAGAGCGTGGGCTTCACAAAGTACCTGGAGTATGTCATGCCCACCGTGTACGGGAATCTGATCAACTTCACCATCTCCAAGTATCGCTATGACCTCTTCCCGGCTCCCAGCTAGAGGCCGAGGGACCAAGGACTATCCTTACGCATCACTCAGGGGACCCGCAGCCGCTACCACCACCGTCTTACCAATCCCAGGCGGTGGTCAGAATGGAACGGTATGACTCCTGGATCATGTTGTCCTTCCTTGCCAGATTATTAGGCCTCATCTTCCGAGTACTTCCAATGACTATGTTCAGAAGTATGAGGGCTGCCGGAGCTGGCATGCTCCACACGAGTGTCCAAGGTCCTTATCTCCATACACGTTCCAGGTCAGCAGCTAAAGAAAAGCCAGGGAACCTAGCATTTTCACAAAGGTTAAGCAGTGGCGGTGCCCCTCCCCAATCTCTTATGACAGGTTCTCTTTAAATTGACCAACAAAAAGAATTGAAACCCAACTTCAGGCAGATTGTTTTTTGGTTATAAATAGCCGGGGGATGACTTAGGAAGGCCTTTCTCAACCTGGGTGCCAGGGCAGGCTGGGGGGCCTTCAGGCTTTGTCAGGGGTGCCAGGGCAGGCTGGGGGGCCTTCAGGCTTTGTCAGGGGTGCCAGGGCACGCTGGGGGGCCTTCAGGCTTTGTCAGGGGTGCTTTCAAATTTGCAATTGCATGGTGCAGGCGAGCTGGCCGTACTTATCCAAGGCAGTCTGCATCCAGGACCTCCCCCAGCATTTAGACGAGGTCAGAAGTCTGCCTCTGTCCAGACCTGCTCCACCCCCTACCCTCAGCCATATTGTGGTGACGATTTTGAGGTAAGACCTTGATTAAAGGGGGAGACTGAGGACTCTGATGTGAAGGGGGACTCCAGAGGTGAAGACGGACTCCTGATGTGAATGCCCCTTTACATTGGTGGCTAGTGGGAAGAATGTCCCCCTTACATTGGTGGCCAGTGAGGAGGCTACCCCCCTTACATTGGTGGCTAGTGGGAAGAATGTCCCCCTTACATTGGTGGCCAGTGAGGAGGATACCCCCCCTTACATTGGTGGCCAGTGAGGAGGATACCCCACTTACATTGGTGGCCAGTGAGGAGGATACACCCCTTACATTGGTGGCCAGTGGGAGGAATGCCCCCCTCATATTGGTGGTTAGAATGCCAATCTCGCCGGCAGCTAAACAAATCATTGGTGTCTTGCTCCTGGCTCTGCCAAGTGGTGTTGGCCCCACAATTATGCAGACATTATCAGATGGGAGGTCAGTCATCCACAGCTCAAGGAACCCCTAATAACCCCTGGAGGAACTGTAGGCTTTCACAGAACCCTGGTGGAGAACGGTGGCCCTAGAGTCCCAAAACCGGGGGATGTCACCTTGCAAATCTCAACAACCTTGATTCTGGAGCTCCAGCAAACCTCCTCCATTGGTCCACCCCCTAAAACATGTTCTAGGTCAGTGAAGTGTTCACATTGCTATGAGGGAGGTTGGGTGTGCTAGAACCTGGACTTGGAAGGGAAAGCTGTTCCTATAGTCAGTGCTCTGGGTGTGTTTTGGGACTACTAAAAAAATTGGAGAAAACATTTGGCAAGTAGGGACAACATGACCCGGACGTGAGGGGCTTCCGGTATGATTATCTGCTATGAACTTTTGCTATTCCTCTGAACTTGTCTTCACTCTGACGCCTCTGTCCATGACTAGCTGTATATAAAAAATATCTCCGCTTCCTTTTTTATGACACTTCAACAACTCTGTGATTAAAAACTTCTAACGTTCTGTGTCTGCGTGTTGTGCTTGGCTTGAAGGAAAGAGCTGGGAAATTTGCATCGCTCCTAGAGCTGCAACAGTTATTCGATTAAGTCGATTAAAATCGACGAACTCCCTTACTCATCAGCCATCAGTCCTTACGGTCCCTAAGTCAGCTGAACACATCAGAACCTGGAAAGATTCAGAATACAACGATAACAACCAGTGGAACATCGGTGATGTCAGAGATGTGAAGCTAGGCCACCTTCAATCCAAGCTAGGCCACCTTCAATCCAAGCTAGGCCACCTTCACTCCAAGCTAGGCCACCTTCACTCCAAGCTAGGCCACCTTCACTCCAAGCTAGGCCACCTTCACTCCAAGCTAGGCCACCTTCACTCCAAGATAGGCCACCTTCACTCTATGATAGGCCACCTTCACTCTATGATAGGCCACCTTCACTCTATGATAGGCCACCTTCACTCTATGATAGGCCACCTTCACTCTATGATAGGCCACCTTCACTCTATGATAGGCCACCTTCACTCTATGATAGGCCACCTTCACTCTATGATAGGCCACCTTCACTCTATGATAGGCCACCTTCACTCTATGATAGGCCACCTTCACTCTATGATAGGCCACCTTCACTCTATGATAGGCCACCTTCACTCTATGATAGGCCACCTTCACTCTTATGATAGGCCACCTTCACTCTTATGATAGGCCACCTTCACTCTTATGATAGGTCACCTTCACTCTTATGATAGGCCACCTTCGCTCTATGATAGGCCACCTTCGCTCTATGATAGGCCACCATCGCTCCAAGATAGGCCAGTAGCACTCCACGATGGGTCACCAGCACTCCAAGATAGGCCACCCAATGCAATATTTCAGGGCCACATAGTGTCCCTTCCTCAGAGAGACATCACTGTGTTTTGAGGAAGGGGCCCGCATGGCCCCAAAGCGTTGGCTATTTTTACCTGTGTGACATGATATACAATATTTTCTTTGCCTTTTTGGAGTCCTGGTGACCTATCTTCACACCTCTGAGGTTCAGCACGGCACCATGCGTGGCGGTCACTATGAGCACCTATCTTATCTACCCCGGTCACAAAGCTGCATGGTGTGCAGCAGGAGCTTTCAACAATCAACATTCACATCATTCTAGAAAAAAGATGAATCTCTAAGGACAAATAGCAATGAGAGAGATTGGTGACCAACCTGATAAAACATTCACTGCAGGCCATCATTTCTGAGAATATCAGCAGAAGGGATCACTTTCAAGAACTCTCAGGGCAGAATAAAAACTGACCCTTGCAGTGGGGCTTCCCCTGAAACGGAAAGGGTTAAGTGTTCATTTTGGTCTAGTGTCTAAAATAAGATATACTCACTGGATCCTCGGTCCTGCCTGGCTGCTAGTCTGGTCCCTGCAGTCTATCTCCCCCTCTGCTCTGGTGGTCTAAGGTCCCATGATCACATCTAAGTGATCAGTGTGTTAAACATGAGGATGTCGAGGGATATTCCATTGAAGGAGAAGAGGCTGCAGGGACCAGTCAAGGTTCAGGTGAGTATATCTGTTAATTTAGACACTAGACCAAAGCAAGAACCTAACCCTTATTGGGGGGGCTGTAGCCCCACTGCAAAGGTTACATTTTAGTCTGCCCGGAGTTCTTTGCAATGTGGAGCTCTTCCCTCCAGTACTTCTTTTCCACCACCAGATGCTGTCAGTCTTCAAGGTTGAAGCCATCATCTTTCAACCCAATTACTCTTCAGCCCGGGCTGTCTTGGGCTCTGAGTACTGCTGCACGGCACTCACGGGTCTGTTTATACATAACATTTGCATAGCTGTTCTTCCAGCAAAACTGCATGTACGTTCATTTTATGTGCATCAGACAGCTGTTGGGAGAATGGGGCAAAGCTAAATGTTCTTAGACCATATTTTTCTTCAGGTTGAATGTTCTTCAGGTTTTATGGGCTACATTAAAAGGAGATTCATAAAGAACACAGAATGAATGGGGAAAGTACCACAATATGGCCACTAGAGGGCGCTGACGATCATAGGCAATAAATACATATTAGTAACGAGATACAATGTAACAATTCTAGAGAACACTGGAGAGGATTAGTAAATAAGGGCGGTCATTGCTTCTATGGGGATCCCCCTATGGTAAGGCTAATTCCTTCCAGCGGGCGGCCATTGCTACTATGGGGATCCCCTATGGTAAGGCTAATTCCTTCCAGCGGGCGGCCATTGCTACTATGGGGATCCCCTATGGTAAGGCTAATTCCTTCCAGCGGGCGGCCATTGCTACTATGGGGATCCCCTATGGTAAGGCTAATTCCTTCCAGCGGGCGGCCATTGCTACTATGGGGATCCCCTATGGTAAGGCTAATTCCTTCCAGCGGGCGGCCATTGCTACTATGGGGATCCCCTATGGTAAGGCTAATTCCTTCCAGCGGGCGGCCATTGCTACTATGGGGATCCCCTATGGTAAGGCTAATTCCTTCCAGCGGGCGGCCATTGCTACTATGGGGATCCCCTATGGTAAGGCTAATTCCTTCCAGCGGGCGGCCATTGCTACTATGGGGATCCCCTATGGTAAGGCTAATTCCTTCCAGCGGGCGGCCATTGCTACTATGGGGATCCCCTATGGTAAGGCTAATTCCTTCCAGCGGGCGGCCATTGCTACTATGGGGATCCCCTATGGTAAGGCTAATTCCTTCCAGCGGGCGGCCATTGCTACTATGGGGATCCCCTATGGTAAGGCTAATTCCTTCCAGCGGGCGGCCATTGCTACTATGGGGATCCCCTATGGTAAGGCTAATTCCTTCCAGCGGGCGGCCATTGCTACTATGGGGATCCCCTATGGTAAGGCTAATTCCTTCCAGCGGGCGGCCATTGCTACTATGGGGATCCCCTATGGTAAGGCTAATTCCTTCCAGCGGGCGGCCATTGCTACTATGGGGATCCCCTATGGTAAGGCTAATTCCTTCCAGCGGGCGGCCATTGCTACTATGGGGATCCCCTATGGTAAGGCTAATTCCTTCCAGCGGGCGGCCATTGCTACTATGGGGATCCCCTATGGTAAGGCTAATTCCTTCCAGCGGGCGGCCATTGCTACTATGGGGATCCCCTATGGTAAGGCTAATTCCTTCCAGCGGGCGGCCATTGCTACTATGGGGATCCCCTATGGTAAGGCTAATTCCTTCCAGCGGGCGGCCATTGCTACTATGGGGATCCCCTATGGTAAGGCTAATTCCTTCCAGCGGGCGGCCATTGCTACTATGGGGATCCCCTATGGTAAGGCTAATTCCTTCCAGCGGGCGGCCATTGCTACTATGGGGATCCCCTATGGTAAGGCTAATTCCTTCCAGCGGGCGGCCATTGCTACTATGGGGATCCCCTATGGTAAGGCTAAT